CAATTTTAATTGACTAATTGATTTTATTATTATTTAGAAGGGAAAATGATTAGGAAAACCTACTACTGTTTTACATATTACTTGGCTAGTCTTGTTTACAAGCCTTGGTTGTCTATGGAAAACTCTGTTATATTATTGGAATATCACATTAATGGCATCTCAATCCAATTAAAACCACCGCACTAGGCCTAGAGGCCTAATGGCACTTGCCATTGCAAAGTGCATTTCCCCTTCCCGGCGGGTTTCGAACCCGCCCATATCCAAAAGTTTCAAAAAAAAAAAAAAAGAAAAAAGAATCCAATTAAAACCACCACATTAGCTTTTTTGTACACCTCATCAATCACTCAACGGAGAGGAAAACAAACAACAAATCCTAATTTAACTAACGGCAAATCTTTTCAAAATAAAGTTCTCAACAAACTTCTTTTCTATCCTCTCCCCAGCCCGCCCTTTAGCATTTTTTTTATTTCCTTTTTTTTTTTCTAATTTTATTTTTGCATACAGCTACCGTATTGTTCTCTTCATTGCATTTGTAGAGGCTCTTTGATCATAGCTATTGCAATTTGAGATTGCAATTACTAAGTTTCTCGATGAAACTAACTATTAAGTTTCTCTGTGTTGGGTATAGCTATTTTTAATTAATAATTTGTAATTGCTAAGTTTTGCTTTTGTCATTTGTGGATGTATGCCTTTCGGTAGATTTAGTTGATTTGGTTGAAGGAAGAATAGTTAGAATTAGTTATAAGAAATTAACTTTTTTCATGCCTACCAAGTGTTTGATGTATTTCCTAAGTAAGATTACCTATAAGGGGATAATGTTTAAGCAAGCTTGAGGAAGATTTTGTTCTTTTTCACAAAATTCTTGTATTTTTTATGTATGTCCTGACTTATGGCATCGATGGGGCATTCTTTGTTGGCTGGGACAAGTCTATTTGCTAATCCTCCATTGAGTCTAGATATCATCTTGATTAGAGATAGGTTTGGCATGCCTTTTCTGTGTCATTAGTAATAATATGTAACTTGCATCCATAGCATCAAAAGATGAAATTCTTGCCTTTTCTTGTCATTTTTTCAGCTTGTGTGCTATGCAGGTGATTGATTACTAGTTAGCTGAGCAACCTATAAACCCTTAGACTAATGATCTATAGATTGAGAATGGGACTAAGACATAAAATTCAAAGAAGCTGGCTTTCAATTGTCTAGGAAGCCCCATTCAGGGAGTTAGCTTTGGCACAATGACAATTAGAAGAAAAATATAAAGGAACATCAAGATTCAAGAATTGCTCCTTTTTTTTTTTATCAGAAAAATTGTCTTATATCATTTTCACAAGAAAATTGCCTTGTATCATTTTCATAAGAAAATTGCCTTGTATTGTATTTTTTTAAGAGAATTGCAATGTATCTTGGAATATTATTTTGTTATTAATAAAAGTTCATGTTTTTAATAAAGGAGTGTTATTTTGGTATAAATTTAACTCTTAAAACAAATTTTCATCTAAATATGAGTAACTAATGCAAGTTTTATATAAAATCATTGTGCAACACAAAAGCTATGTTTCAATTTTTGTATAATCATCTAATATACCAAAATACCATCATATGATCAACAAAATGGCTCTCATAATTTATCCACATCTTTAATGATTCCCCTCTGTCAATACTTCATAGCCATTTGCAATCTATTGATACAATAATACATATGCTTGTTAAGAGAAGGGTTACAGCTAACTGTAGTCCTCATACTTTGTGAAAATATTCATTACCATCCCTCTACTAATGAAATGTTCATTGTCATCCCTCTACTTTTCTTACACCTAAATGTCATCCCTCTACTATCCTTTTTTTGTTCAATGTCATTCTTAATTGGATGCCATCCATTTTGTTGTTAACTTTGACCGTTAATTGCCTAACTAATAGTCCTGCTTATTGGAGGAAATGTTGGGGTATTTAATGTTTCTAAAATGGTATATGCTTTTATCTTTGTGATCTTTGGTATGGATGTCCTATTTTTGTAAGAATCTAATCACACACCAACATGACCCAATAACTTCATATTAGTGCTTTTACTTTTTCAGCTGATACAAACTATAAATTGAACAGGTGGCAGAGCTGTCAGAACCTACTTCTCCTGAATTGAAAGAAACAATCCACTCTGTAGTCCATGGTCTCCTAGCAACTCTTTCTCCAAAGATTCATTCTAACCCTCTATCAGAGAATGCCCCGTCAGGAATGTTGAATATTGGGAATGAAGATTGTGCTGAACTCATTGAAAATACTTCACTTCAGTTCCAGCCCCTCATTTCATTAACAAGGGACTATCTTGCTCGCTTGCTTTTCTGGTTAGTCCAACTTCTATTATACCTCATTTTCCCCTCAAAAAGTCCTCTTATTTTCTATCCTCAACCGTGAAAATGGGTTGCAGATGTATTTAGGTATCCTGCTTGTAGTTGCAGATGTATTTAGATATCCTGCTTGTATTTTGATATAATTGTACATGACAATATTCTTTTTTTCTTATCTTAAGGTGTATGCTCTTGGGACACTACCTGAGAGGCCTAGAGTATCGGATGGAGCTGACAGAACTTTTTGACAAGCAATGAAAGTAATGGTTGCAGTGACGAGCAAGTTTCTTAAAGCCACATTGTTTCATATGCTTCCATCTGTAAATAATAGATGTATAAACTGGTTTGGAATCAACTTGTTTTCTAGCATGAAGAGGCAGGAAGTGAAATACAAGGTTAGGCCATTTTCTCTCTTGCAGATGGAGAGGCCTTTTATGTGTAGAAGGATACAATTTTTCTCTTGTTTATCTCGAGTGTGCCACAGGATTATAGTTT